TTCAGGTGCAGATCAGGGGTTATTAAACACCTTCTTCAGCAGCTGGGCAACAACAGACATGAGCAAACATCTACCATTTATTTATAATTTGAGCAGCACTTCTGTATATTCCTACCTTCCAGCATTTAAAGCGTAAGTTCAAAATTCTAGGAAGACTTTCAGAGCTTATATAAACTCATTTCTTGTAACGGAACAAACAGGCACAATGTGAACTTACATGGGTTTTTCTAAAGGGAGGCCATTATTGTCACTAAAAGAAGGTATAATAGTTTCCACTCTGTGTTTAAAAAAAAAAAAAAAGTTGAATTCATCTCATGATAAATGCAGAGAGAAAGCTGTATCTGTAACTTAAACCACTCATCCCTGGTGGTAGCACTGAAGTTGATTTAGAGTAAGCACATTTGACGGGTCACTTGCAAAAGGAAGAACCACTACTCCAGTATGGGATACTGTCTATTACAGTTCTAACCAAAGGCAGCAGCTCTTGAATAAGCTTGAGCTGAACTTCAGCATGTCACTGGTGGTACTGTTCCCACCTAGATAACTTGTGCTTTCCTCACTCAAATTACTTAGGGTATTTAACAACCCGTAGCTACAGTTCATCTAATCAACCTATATCATTCAAATAAACATGGTGAACAAAGACTTGTATAAAGCTAGAATTCTCTCCCAACAGTCTTTCTAGATCTCAGACAGTTCCTTAAGTAATAGCAAGATGGAACAAAGACTACAGCCAACCACCATACATTTGCATACTTCCTGTGTAAGGAGAACAACTGTATCCTCCCTAGCTAGCACTATTAGATTTGGCATGTGAGTAAACCATATGTCAGTGGCAAGGGTCACTCAAAGTGTTATAATAAACACAGGAGGAAGGGGGGGAAGCATGGGAAGCTGAAATGTTACACAGAAACTCTTATTCATTAAGAGCTGCAAAAGTTGGGGGGGGGGTGGGTGTGCAGAGGGAAAGTACTCATTGCATAAAAACAATCTGATCTCTGAATGACATCAGGTTACTAGTGTCTAAAGCAGTAGCTAGCATAAGCAGGACTGTTGCTGGCTCAAGATCAAACTATGTCTTGTGATCAGAATACCATTTGAAATCCTGTCATGCTAAAAGTGGAACACTTATTTAAAGAAATATATGCAAGCCTAAGAATGACTAAGTAGTTGGATAGCATTTGATAAGCTAACATCTATTGTAAAGTATGTCCTCCTTCCATGGCTGACTGGTTGTTTGTCACATGACCTTAAATTTACAAATGACCTTGTTGCCACAAAAGCCTAATAGGATTTGGGGGCTTCTGACAAAAATTCCGTTTAACCAATTGAATCAATTGCCTAACTGAATTCAGTAGACCTTCAAAAGTAGAATGCTGGAAGTGCAGCCCTTTTAAGTAGAATGCCCTGCTCAATAGGTGGAACAATTTTCCTTGGTTAGATCAGCAGCTATGCTCCTGATAATCAGCAGTTGGAATAAAGTGAAATTTAAACCTACTGACATCAATAGCTAAGTTTTTTGCAGCTTTGTACAGCGAGACTAGATTTCACAGCAGTCTCAGTAATCCCTTTTTCCAAAGGAAAATGCCAATTCATGACATGTTCTCTAACTTCAAAACATTGATGAAGGACTTTTCTGGGAGATGGGGAAAGACAGATTAGTTGCTAAGGCCAGTGTGGACATAAAGCTTCCTAACAGTTGAGCTTAAACGTCAAAAGAAAGTATTGCAGATCTAGAAACTATCTAGAAAGCAGATACTGAAAACATTGTAGAAGCTTGGCATCTGTCAACTGTTGTACAGGTCTTAAGCAGACAGAATACTAAGAATACACTTCTCCATTTGCAGCAAGTGTAACATAACACTTCTTGGGCATTCTCTAGCTTAAACAGCCTTGATTTTTTAAACAATGACAGGTTTCCTCAGAACAGCAGCAGCCTAAGATGAAGAAAACTCAGGCTGTTAAGTAATGCTGTGACAGCTAATAAAACTAAGGAAGTCCTCTTATGCCAAGATTTGGCATGTGGAGTTTAAAGCTTAAGCCTAGAAATTGACCTCTTGAAGACAGATTTTTTTTTTTCTTGCACTTAGTGCAAATACTTGACCTTGTTTTACACATGCATACGTTTTCATTCTGCAATAAGATCAGTTGTGTTCAAAACATTGAACACGAATATTGAAATACAGTCAAGGATCTTCCAATAGTACAAAACCCCCCACCCAAATGCATACTGCCTTGTTTTGAATATTCTAGTTTTTGAAACACAAACTGAAAGGGTAGTGCTAACACTGACCCTTCTCCACATAATGCTTGTAATGCCTAACTATCTGGATCACTGACTTTGGAGTAGAATCTTTTTCACTTTTAAAACCAGTTCCGATTGCAACGGCTGCTTGAGACTGCTCTCTCCTGAGCTATGGACATCACTCTACCTAAAGACTTGAGTTGGCTGTAAGTACTTAAATAGCCCAGACCATTAGTTTTTGGCTGTATTCCGACTAGTGTAACGTAGAATTCTGTTTGCATTTTTTCCTGTTGTATAGCGATGCTTTCAGTCCCAGTAGGCATTGGCAGTTTGATCATTTAGCCTGCTAAATATATTCAGATTTCTGTTTTCTGGACACCTACAGAAACTGCAGGTTAAAAAAAGTTACATCTGCAAGTCGAAACTCTTGTTTTCTAGACAACTGCACAAACTGTGGGTTCTAACTTTTTCTGTCCAACAGGTTTGGTGCAAATACTAAAGTGGTGCATTTCCTGGGAAGCACAAAGCCATGGAACTATACATATGACTCCAGAATAAAAAACATAAAAGGCAACATGGATAAAATAGTTCACCCAGAATTCCTCAACATGTGGTGGGATACTTACACAGCTAATGTTTTACCATTATTAGAACAGCATGGAATTGTTAAAGAAATTACTACAGGTGTAAACATGGTATGTGCTTTAATATTCTTGTAGAAACTACCTAAATATGGATGACAGGTTCTTCACCATTGCACTGATTTCCCTTCCGTCTGTCCAACTGAAAGCACGGGTGTGGTTTAGTGGTGGGATGTAGGGTTTTTTGGTTTTGTTAAGCTTGGAATAAATAATACTACAGAAGAGAAGCATGCTATAGTGGTCTTGAACATAGCTGACTGCTTGCCTAAAACAAACTATATAAGTAGCTAATGGTGCACCAGAAATTATACTGTAGTAACTTCTTTAATATATACAGAAAAGGGCCCTAACTCTTAATGTGCTGCAGCTAATAAGGTTCTCGGGCAGAAGAACCCCAGTTCAGCATGCAATATGTACATATAGATCTTGCATGGTGAAACAAATCTAGGGAAGCCTAGGAGAACTAGAGAATGAATACTTTATGTAGACTGGCAGTGATGACTCCCAATACTTATCAAAGCCAAAGTAATGCTTCTAACTCTAGTTCTCATTCAGAGTTTAGTAGCTTGCATCTGACTGCAGACTTTATTGTCTTAGCTTAGTACACGGGCCAGTTTAAGTTCTCAACCTTTCTAAGACCAAAGTTACTGATCTCTTAAGATGTGCTTTCTCTTGTTAATCTTACGTCTTTCTAACAAACTATTTGCAGCTATCGAGCTTGGTCTATACTCTGGCTTTCTCTTGTGGCTTCTGTAGAGAGGTATGAAGAACTTAAACTTTTTTTTTCTCCCTGCTAACTTCTGTAACTCTGCTTTGTTATTTTGCTAGGAAAGCTGCACAATCCCTGCCCATTGGCAATGCTTGCTGCTGCGCATGAGAACATCTACTTCGTTGTCCCGTTCTATGGCCTGTTGCTCACTCTAGCTATGCAAAGTATTTCCATATTTTTACTCTGCCTTTCCTTTTAGGCAGAGGTTACAGAGGCAGTGTCCCACATATCAATATCAGCACCATCACCAGTATTACCAACTGTATCTTCAGAAGAACGCAAGGAACGGTGGGAACAGGGCCAAGCTGACTATATGGGAGTGGATTCCTTTGACAACATAAAGAAGAAACTTGATACCTACCTTCAGTAGAAATGCCTGTCTCAGACAGTGGTGATGCAAGGACTTGTTCCAGAACTAACAGCTAGAAAGGTGTAGATGGTGGTCAGTTACACTTGCCTAGTAGCTTGATGAAAAACTTCTTGGCTGAAGGCCTCTGCAGTGCTACAGATGAAGACTGAGCAAAAGCTAGGAAGCAGAATTCCTTGGGCCACCTATAACTACCCAATTTTCAATTCTCCCCACTAGATAAACCCAGGTATTTTCTTCTGTTGTGATCAATTGGCTCAACGTATTGCTTGAAACTGGGTTTGTTACCTCACCTCATTAAGGTGATTAGCATCGATTCCTTTGCTTGCCATTTTAGATGTAAAATCTAATTCATGGGATTGCTCATACACTAGTGTGGTAGCCATTCTGCTTTACCATAAATGTATTAATGACACTGGGATACATACAGATGTAACAGTAATAGCACTGCTTTGCTCTTCCAGTCACAATTGCACTTAAGTTTTGATCAGGTTCTTATGCACAGTGCCTACAGCATGGCAGAATGCATTTTTCAGTTCTGTATACTATGGGACTAGTAAACTGAGTTTTATCTGTTATTTGCAATGTTGCACTTGATAAAAATAAAACGTTCTCATGCATTTCTGGCTTCCCTAAACTCTTGAGGGAAAAAAAAAAAAGGGGAGCTCTGAAGCAGTCTAACTAGAATATTCAACAGGTATAACCCTTAAGCTTTGCTAATGCTATTCTAGCTACCATTAGCGAATGTCCAGCTTTTAGTTCTGTAGTTATTTACAGAGTATATAGTCATTTGCCAGGGAGCTGTTTAGGGGGCCAATCCCCTTATTAGCTTGTCCTAAGTATAGGACAGGGCTATGGAGGAAGTACCTGCTGAAGCTACTCACATAAGCAACATGGAGCTTGGTAAGAGGGAATCTTTCTTTAGTCACTGAAAGAAAGATCATCCCTAACATAAGCCCTGTACACGGTGAACTTGTGTTTAAACACAATGGTGATGCTATTTTGGCAAAGAAAGACTGAATAGCTGCTTAAGTAACTGTATCTACCCTGATTAGGAAAAACGACTCTTTCTGTGCGCGCAAGGAATAAAAGAAAGTGCTTTTTTGCCACACTCGGACTATGCATTGTATTCTAAGACACATGGAAAAGCAGTAAAAATACCACAGTAACAAAAGAATACTGAAGGCAGAGATTGGCTGTTATCTGTACTAAGTTTCAGATCCATCCTTCAGCCAAAATTCTAAACAGAACTGTTCTTTGACAGCTATACTGTGTGCTAGTCCCGAAACACTAAGAAAATACTGTTTCATTATTTCCTCATAAAGGAGGATTTTGGCAGGAAGCTAGCAAGGGTGCTAAACTTCTAGCCTAGAGATAAACAATCAACAAGCTCTCACCATTTGCTGGTAAAGCAGAAGATGTGATCTGCATATGAGGGTTAGTTTGTTTTAACTTGGTTTTGCTACTTAATTGCTCTAAGATTCCTTGGTCACCATTTAGCAAAAAATGCTAAAGATAAGGTCCAAACCAAAGTAGCTTGTAGCTATTTAAAAATACATAGCATCTGAACTCCCAGTTGTAACTAGCCCTTTCCTGTGTGGGTTTTTCTTTTGCTGCGTTGGGTTTTTTAACAGGAAAATTTGAAGTTGTGTGAAAGCAGGAGGGATTACTAGTTACAATCTGTAGTGACAAAAGCATACTTTATCCAACAAGTACAAATATTGGAGTTCTGCATGCTCACAAACTACTCTATGGAAAATGGTAAAATACTCTTTTGAAGACAGGTAAACAGTCTTAGTTTTGTTCCCCTTGTCTGTATTCGTACTAGAGAATAGGCACATTACTTCTTTTTAAGCTTAGTTGGAGAGAACTGAAAGTGTAAAAGCATGAGACTATACCAACCTGAAAATGTGGTTTAGCATGTAAGTTTTGTAACATTAATACAAGAAGATAAGGAGAGATGCTGAATGAGATGAAAACCTGCATGTTTTGAGTTAACAAATACAATTAGTAAAGAAAGAAAACCTATAAAACAATTCTGTCCTAGCCTCTGTGACTCATACTGTGGTTAAGTGTTTACCCACAGCCTCAGGAAAGCTAAAAGGTATGGCATCTGTACCAAACTCTATGCAGCTTATTTTCAATAAAATGACCTTCGTGTCATTATCTGCCACTATTTCCTTCATAATTACTGCAGGCAGCATTTGCAGAAACATAGATCTCTCTTTTTATCCTTGGTAACAGTATCAGTTGATACATCAAACAATGCTCTGCTCTAAACTGTAGGTACTCAAAACAGTAACTGAATTAAAGCACTATACTCAAAACATCATTATTCAAAAGAATCATAGCCCTGCTTAGATAGCGACTCAAGTATTGGAACTCCAGTTGCCTTTAAAAAGCATATAGTCTAAGGTGTTCCTTAGATGGTGACAACTCAGAGCAACTCTGAAAAAGTTTAGAAGCTTTTTTTTTTTTTTCCCCATTTACATCTTTGTTTTATGTAGGGGGTAAAAAAACCCAGAATGATAGACTACTAACTCCAGTCTTTGGAATTAAAAACGTTAAGTTCATAATTCCAAAAGCTCACTTCTAGAACATGCCACAGAACACACCGTTAGAACTCCAAGAAAGAGAATACCAATAGCCAAAGACTACTTACAGCTCATTAAAAGCAGAAAGAAACCCCAACCAACCAGAACACTGTGGGTTTTAACCACCCAAGTAACAGAATAGCTCCATCAAATCAGACAGGACTTTTCTGCTCTCAGCTTTGACTTCTAACTATTCTCTCAGATACATTAATGGCTTTCTTGGGAGAGAGCTTAACTAGCCATACAGCTTAGTACTAACTCCAGGAACTTTTTATTTGGCTTTGGAACATGGAAACCATCATCTAGTAGAGGAAAAATTATACTAGTAATTGTTTTCATAATCATAACTCAGCCACTCTGCAAAATGTCAGCATATTTTAACACAAGTAATGATGTAGCTTGACTAGCCATTGAAATGGGCCTCTTCCTCATGGAATTTTAACTTAGAAAATGGGAAGAATGACACAAAGCCAAATCTCTCATTCATAAGCAGGAACCATTTCTCCAGCTTATCTCTAAACATCAGAATCTGAAGCACAAAAATCCAAAGAAAGCTTAACTTGCATGAACTCGATGAAAAAAAAAAAAATTCAATCAGGTGTAGCTCTGTTTTCTTCTTTTGTCAACGTTCCAGTGACAACCAGTTACTGGGGTTCGCGTTGTCCTCCATCATTCATGTCTTTTTAATTCTTTCTCTAACAGACTTAAAACACACTTTTCTCCATAGCTAAGAGCGTTACAGGGAAGGCAGCATAGTGTTAAGAAAACACGTAACAGAAGACCAGAATCAAATGGAAAGAGAAAGAAGGAACAGACAAGAATATTCAAGTAATATTCAACTGAAATTCTTCAGTGCTATTTATTATTTTGCAGTACATGAACATAAATAGTTTACCAAGTTCTTCCTCTATAAATCAAGACACGTGCAGATCAGCATTCCACTAAGACATATGTATGGGATTGGAAAAGCACTTACCAGTGCAAGAAAACTGTTAGAAAGCTGGCAGCTATTAAAATAATTTGTTCTGTTAAATTTATTTTGCAAGGGCTAACTGATTCACTGATGAGTGGGTCATATTCTACTTTGCATATAGCACAGTCGTACTGTTCAAAGTGTGTACAGAAATTATTGGAAAGCGTGTTATCAATACAAGCCTATGATTCTAGCATTTTATCCAAGTCACAAAACCTTTACAAAAATCAGTGGAATTCTGTTCAAGGGAAGCAAAATATTAGAAGAAAGTGTTTTACAAATTTAAGTACTTCATTTTTACTAGCTTCTGGGAAGTAATCAACAGAGGAACTCCCTGCTGCACCTGTGTATTACTCAGAAATAGTAAAAAAAAAATTTAAAATTTGGAATTAAATGCCATCTTTGAACATAGTCTGCAAAAGTAAGAATTCCTTATGAAGTGATCACTGACCACCTATTCTGAAACAAACAATCCAGATGATCTGTTTGGTTATCAGGAAACACAGATTGAAACACAAAGCTATTTCATTTCTATTCACCTCTAAAAGAGATTAAATTCTTGCAAGTTAGAATGCATGAATATGCATTTCTGTTCTGAGGGATTTTTATGTATTCTTAAGCGTTGTACATAATAAGCAACATTTCGAAGAAATGAATACTGGAAAGATTTCAGGAGTGCAAAACAAGTTTGTGCATTTCTAAATTAACATTTGGGAGCAAATTAGTTTTTAGAATTTATTTGAAGTATTTCTGTTTTGACCACAAAGACAGCAAAACTGAAAGTTAGCATGAGATAAGTAACTTGAAGAGCAATATTAACTAAAATACTAAATGTATTATTTACTCAAAATACCTCAGTTTCAAGCTATAAATCAATTAAAGCCTTTATTTCATTAATTTTGGTTTGGTTTACTTCACTTGCTGAAGGCTTTTTGGTAGCAAAGGCTCCTGCTGCAAGTTCCCTCTTCTTGTTCTGAATTTTCAGCATATTTTCTTCCACCGAATCCTTCACAATGAACTGAAATACAAAAAAAGCCCCACTGAAATGGAATTTTTTTTTTTATTAAATTTTAGGATGAGAAATTTATGTACTTTGGGAAAAAAAAGTTAAAAAGCTGAGTACCCTAAAGCACAGTTACATTATTTTGTTATTACTTTGTAAAGAAAACACAAGAGGGAAGGGTTATAAAGCAGTTGGAGGAAAAGGTTTGGCATTTTAAGTTTTTTGCCCTTTTTTTTTTTTTTTAAACACTTACTGGAAGAATATCTACCTCTTTGCTACTTATATTAGAAGAGAACCTGTCTTCAATTTCCCAAGTAATATTTTTGTGACTGGGTATTAATGAGACAGACCAGCTGCTCTTCTGCAGCTAAACAAGCTGCTATGACAAAAGCAAAAGCATTCTACATACCTTCAAGACAATGAACTGTAATAGCCAGGCTAGGCAACAGCAACACTACCCCATCTTAGTCACTCCAAATAGCTCAACAGGGACATCTAATTTCTAAAATTATTATTTCACAGGAAATAGGTTACATTTAATAAAATCTTACAATCCAAAATCCACTTCAAAAATCATACCACACTAAGTTTACTGGTGAGACATATAATGTCACAATTCTTTTAAAAATACAGTAAAGCTTTTTGGAAAATAAATTATTTATTCATAACCAGAAAACGGTTCAAACAGATCATCTCTCAACTCACCTTAGTAATAACAACATTATGCTTCTGACCCAGCCTGTGACACCTGTCAAAACACTGGTCTTCTGCAGCGGGATTCCAAGCCTATCAGTAGCAGCAATGAACAAGTTAAGTAACTTCCCTTCAAAATACATAGTAGGATGCACATGGAATCACAAAGAAGTCATTGTACCATCAGCTCTTGAAGAAATACTGCTTGCACGTTAATTACTCCCAACCTAATGTCTCACTACTTAAGTATCCCGCTATAAAGAAAGCTTTGAGAACTTCTGATTATGTATTCGTAACAAGCAGGAACTTCAGGCAAATGCTTTAAAAAAAAAAGTTTGTCAGGAGTCTAGGAGACATAAAATCAATCTTGTTATCGTTTTAATTCTGAAATACACACTGCATATACTAACTGCCTCAGTACCCTCTTCCCGATAGCAAAATCTGAGCCAGCTGAACAGAGGCAGTTATTTATCAGTAGACTAAGTCCCCTGACTGTTAAGAAAGCCCACGTATACTTCCATTAATATATGCAATAATTGCCAAGTTAGGTAAACAAGAAACTTGCTGAACACAAAATGCTAGTGTAGCCGTTCCTACTTATGCTTAGGATATAACACTAAGGATTTGTGAAATGCCAAGTCTGTGCTCTGCGTTTTTCCAGCGTGCTTTTGCTATCTAAAGGTATAGTACTAATAGTTCTGACAGAATGGGTATTTAAATCTACCTAAAATGTAATAATGTTCTGTGATAAGCAAGTCTCATGCAATGGGCTCACCTTGCCATGTCACCCCCATACTGAAAGTTATCTAGGAACTCTTCTTAATGACTCAGTAAACAGAAAACCTTTTGATTTTGTACAATGACACAATGAGACATAAACCAATTCTGTTAAGAATACCATTTTGCTATCAATAAATGTAATTCACATTTTTATTCCTTACAAATAATTTTGCATTCCTGAGTGCTTTAATGAAAGGCAAAAACTTCCTAAATTTAGATATCACCATCTTTCTCAGTCTCTTACAATCACAAAAAGTAACCTCAGACTAATGTCTTCCTTTACAAATTCACAAAAATAACAGAAGAGACTAGAACAGAGGAACACTGCATTATAACACAGAAAAAAAAATACACTGTTCCTGAGATTCCACTTCATGGCTTTTGAAGTTATTGAATGGAACAAACAGAAAACTACATTCAAAGTATCAGAAGAAAGAGAAAGGAAGAAAGAAGGAACTGATATCAAATGCTATGCTGTAAGGTGTCACACCACTTTGTTAACAGTACTACTAGCATTCTTTCCATTCACAGTAAATAAATGGACAGCACAAAAATACTGTGTTAAAACAAAAATGTGCCAGGGAAACAAATGAAGAAAAGCCCTATTTGCCCTTAACAGATACTCATCAGTGGCGTTCATTCTCAGGGGGGCTTTCCTTCTACCTCTTAGGAAAACACCAAAGAAGCTTCACCAAGATTAAGCCAGATCATTATGAACAACCCATTACTCACAGGATCCATTAAAAACACTCGGGAAGCTGCTGTCAGATTTAATCCAACTCCACCTGCTTTCAGAGACAAAAGCATTACAGTTGGGGATCCTGCTTGGCTGCTTTGGAAACACTGAATTGCTTCTACTCTTTTCTTCTGTGCCATTGACCCATCCAAACGAGTAAAGGCAAACCCTGATTCTCTGAAGAGAAAGCAAAAATGTTCAATTTAACAATCCATTTTCAGTGACAATAGGAAATAAATACATTAAAATCCTGACCTCTACTTCGAAATGCATATTTAAAATTCTGCATTTAACAGGTGATATGTTAAAAACAAGAAGAATGTGATTCATGGCTTTATTCCACTAAACAAAGTATTTAAGTAGTCTGTTCCTCTTCTGAAGTTCTAAAAATCAAAAGGATACTATATTCTTTGAGAGATCTTTCTAACACACCGTAAAAGCACGTGTTTATTAAAAATGACAGTAGTTCTACTTACTTCAAGGGATATTCTATCAGTGACAGAAAAGTTGTGAACTGAGAAACAACCAGACATTTAGCAGTTGGATTATCCCTCCGTAGTTCTATCAAAGCATGCATGAGAGCATCTATCTGAAATCAAATGAAGACTTATGCAGCTTATTCTGACTTGGTTAGATTCCACTCCTACAGATGCTTTGATAAAGTTCACATCAATTGAGAAATCACTGTTCAGTAATACCTTTTAAACAAACTATTCTTAAAATCTGTGGGAAGTTTCTTTTAGTTTCCAAAGGAAACTAAGGGTTGCACACTGTTAACAGTCACAAACTACAGGGTGATTGATGGTGCTTTGGGAAAAAGGATTCACAAACTTGTTTTCCAGACATACTTCCCACTGTCAGGAGTCAACCAGTCCCCTACCTCCAGGGCATATGGAAAAAAGGAACAGAGTACTGGAACTCTGAAAAGTAGGGCTCAAGGCAAGGGACAGCCACCAGGCGAGTGCTCTACTGTAGCAATACTCAAGAAGCGAGAAAGGCTTCCCCCAGGAATATTCAGGCAAGCTATGCAAGACCCTTGGCTAGGTATGACAGAGGATAAGGAGGCACCAGAAGCAGTCTTGGGACCAACATGAGAACAAAAGGAGCTAGAAATTGGATCTGAGGCAGAAGAACATTGCCAGTTTTCTCTTGTAAGGTTTAGCTATGATGAGGTAAAGAACCACTAACTAGAGAATGCAAGTAACTGCACCAGATAAAAAAGAAAAAAAAAATTTAAAAAAGTTAATATTCTAGAGCACGATGTCCTAAATCAGTTCTTAGGTCTCCACAGAAAGATTTTTAGGGACTAAGTTTATAACCAACTTTTGAAAGAACAGTAACTTCATTACAAATTAAAATTAAAAATTTAATGTTTCAGAAAAGCAATCTCAAAAAGGTGAAAGTACAAGCAGGAAGATTTAATTTTTGGCAGCGAATGCACAATGAAAGTGAGGCAAAAAATGATGTGGCAGACCTTGAGAAAAAGGTCTGCAAAGTAAAATAAAAATATCTTACTAGTTTCTCTGACAAGTGTTATATTGAACATATGATGCCCATTTAGTTTTCCCCTCTAGAGCAGAATATATATTCTTTAGACAAGTTTTAAGAAAGATTTATTTAGATTTTTAGTATCCAAAAGTAAATTAAGAGCTGAATAGTTTCAGTTGTTATAGAACTACTCTATCTTCCGAAACAGAAACAAAATGCAAAGCAACAGCTTTTACCGAAAGTTTTATTTAATTAATACACATCTATGTACTGCACAATGTCCAGCATCAAATTACAACTGATGCTCCTTTTGCCTTGTTTCCCTGCTACAAAATTTGTTTGTGATGAGATTTTATTATGCATTTTCTCCTGTGCTGGCTAAACATGCCGTACAGACTTTTAAATAATAAACTATGTTATGCATATGTAAAGTATGTTCAGCATATTTACACAAAAATTCTAGAGAGTGCTCAACAAAACCATAATGAAAGCCGAGTAAAACACAATGGAATGTACCTTTGAACTGGATATCCACTCCTGATCAGACTTCCTTCCATTACTGGAGTCTACTTCCCCTTCTAGGGGACATTCCACCAAGTGCTCTACTCGAAGCTCATTCCTACAGAGAGGGCATTTGGCATTTGGCTACAAAAAAGCCCAAATAACATTAGAAGAAACATATTAAATCAAATTATTTATAGTGAGTACTAAAGATCACCTTTACAAAGCACCATTTATGAAATTATTATATTAGTGTTCATACTAAAAATCCTCAGGGAGTACATTAATTCTCGTAACACGCTGCTTTGTCATTTCTGATGTAACAATCAAAATATTTTATTTGTGAGAACATTAAGGTGACATAAATGCTGCATGTTTTAAAAACACTCCGCCTTCCTTAAAAGTGGTCTTCTTTCTGAGCATATTTATACTTGAAATAAGCAGCTCAAGATTTAAAAGCAAGCAAATACTTGGGCTACGGGGAGAAGACTATTTAAAATATCAGAAAAATAAACCATCTTTCAAAGACAAGATCTTTCTTAGTTACAAAGAATGACCTTTTACCCTTTTTCTTCAAAGCCTGCACAGAAATAACAGCAGTCTGATGAAATATGCATTGTCAGGGCCAGACACAGGGTATCTTCTCTTTTTCCCAAACAGACATGAGAAATGAGACATCACTTAATACCAAAAGCTTTTTCCTCTGAAGCATACTCTAGGTAAGGTAAAGTTTAGAATTTATACAATAGCACTTCCATAGGACTACTCACAAAATTTAACAAAAGACTGTGTGCACTAGACAAATACACAACGTTGCAACGCAAAAGTGACAAACATCAAAAACTTTTGCCTAACAGAGCAACCCTTTAAAATTAGCTAACTCAGTTTATATAGCAATCTGGCCACAGAACCAAGGCATCTTTAGGCAGGCTGCAGAGCAGACCTCACAAAGCGGATGAATACTGGGGGCTGCTAATCTGGAATGAACCTCTCGCCAATTAAGGACGCTGGCAGTCATAGTCTGCATACATGAATTTACTGCAGCTATAAAGATATCCTTTCAAGAGACAATCTTAACACAAAGGAATCTGAAGTAACAGTCTCCAAACATAGTTACAAATTAATCATTCCTGATTTGGCAGCAATCCAAAAATCCTCCAGTGATGAGACAAAAATCAATGAATTCTAATAAATCTGAAAAAGTTTTCGGGGAAAAAAAATCCTAACAGTGCTGAAGGACTTTTTTTTTTTTTTTTTAAAATAA